GGCTTAGGGGCGGGAGGACGGCCGGGGGCCGGGCGGTGCAGTGGAGAGCTCCCTCCGGGGGCTGGCGTGCCTCTTGGTGCCGACCCCATCCTGCTGCCTCTGCAGCAGCTGGTGGAGCGAAGGCTTCCGTTGCGTGGAACTGCGAGACAAGAGCGAGCGAGAAGAGGAGGACGGCCGGGGGCCGGGCGGTGCAGTGGAGAGCTCCCTCCGGGGGCCGGCGTGCCTCTCGGTGCCGACCCCATCCTGCTGCCTCTGCAGCAGCTGGTGGAGCGAAGGCTTCCGTTGCGTGGAACTGCGAGACAAGAGCGAGCGAGAAGAGGAGTGGAGGAAGCCCGCGAGACCGAAGCGGAGGAAAGACAAAGGCACTCTGGGCAAAGGGACCTCCCTGTCACCGGGGCTTGGGGCTTTGTTTTGGTTGGCATTTTGCCAAGTTGCCCCATGGTTAGGCTGCCTGGAGAGAGGGGCAACCCTGTAAGCAGGGTGAGAGCCACCGCCTCGGCACCCAGTGGGGGGAAGTGGAGCTTCTGAAGACATGGAGCTGTGCTGCAGCCAGGCCAGCCGCCTCGTAACTCAGGCGCGGGCTGGAGCCTCGGGCTCCGTGGGGCTTGTAAGGAGTGAGTGCCGAGCCGAGGGGGACCGCCCTGTAAGTAGGGCCGTGCGTGCCCCCTGTGCTCGGCGGGAGGTGCTTGGAGGGCCCCCCTGTAATCAGGCGGGTATCTCTGGCCCCGGCCTTTCAGAGGCGTGGAGCCAGGAGATGTGGGGCTGGGCATGCCCTGCCCTAGCCCTCTTTCTTTCTGCTCTCTGCCCCAGGAGCAGCTTGAGGTAAAAAGAACTGTGGGGGAAGGCGGGAGGCTGGGGGGAAGGGGCCCCCTCCGGGCATTGGGTCGTGCCTTGCCAGCAGGGCCCGGGCCCTGCCTGGGCAGCCCTAGCACTGGGAAGCCCTTTTGTTAACTTGAGCTGGGCCACCGCCCCAGAAGCCCGGAAGCAGGACTGGGGCCTCTGCGGTTTTGCCTGCCTCCAGGCTGCTGGGCATCATGGCGGTGAGAAAGGTGGGTCTGAGGTGGCTGACCTGGGGCTGTTTGAGGGTAAGGGGGGGGAAGGCCGGCTGGGGACCGGGGAACGCGGTGGGGACCTCCCTCCGGGGGCTGGCGTCCCTTCCTCCTCCGGGCGGGGGAGCTGGTGTTTTATTGCGCCCTCCTCCCTTGGCAGCAGCTCCTCGAGAAGAAAGACAAGGCGGGCGGCGTGGAGCTGTGAGGCGAACGAGAGGAGGAGCAGGAAAGAGAAGGGCGCTCTGGGCAAAGGGACTTCCCTGTTACTGGGACTGTGGTCACACAAGAGCATTGCACGCACCTTTGGGGTGCCCTGGCTTGCTTTGCGCTGGGCGACCTCCCTGTAAGCAGGGCTCGGTCTTTGGCCTTTTGCCATGTTACCCCATGGTTTGGCTGCCCAGAGAGAGTGGCAACCCTGTAAGCAGGGTGAGAGCCACCGTCTCCACACCCGAGGGGGAGAATTTGTGGGGAGGGCCGGGGCTCCGGCGCCGTCGTGGGGAGGTGCGGTCAGGCACCGCGTCAGGAGGTGCGGAGGGTCCAGCCCCCCCTCGGGAGCGGCCAGGATCCCGGAGCGGCCAGGAGCCCGGAGCAGCAGAGGGCCCTTCGCCCTCGTCCCTGCGGTGAGCACCGGAGCACCAATTCGGTGAGAAAAGCTCGCCAGCTTTTTTCGGGGGTGGGGGGCGTGTAGGGGGTAGGGCTTAGGGGCGGGAGGACGGCCGGGGGCCGGGCGGTGCAGTGGAGAGCTCCCTCCGGGGGCCGGCGTGCCTCTCGGTGCCGACCCCATCCTGCTGCCTCTGCAGCAGCTGGTGGAGCGAAGGCTTCCGTTGCGTGGAACTGCGAGACAAGAGCGAGCGAGAAGAGGAGTGGAGGAAGCCCGCGAGACCGAAGCGGAGGAAAGACAAAGGCACTCTGGGCAAAGGGACCTCCCTGTCACCGGGGCTTGGGGCTTTGTTTTGGTTGGCATTTTGCCAAGTTGCCCCATGGTTAGGCTGCCTGGAGAGAGGGGCAACCCTGTAAGCAGGGTGAGAGCCACCGCCTCGGCACCCAGTGGGGGGAAGTGGAGCTTCTGAAGACATGGAGCTGTGCTGCAGCCAGGCCAGCCGCCTCGTAACTCAGGCGCGGGCTGGAGCCTCGGGCTCCGTGGGGCTTGTAAGGAGTGAGTGCCGAGCCGAGGGGGACCGCCCTGTAAGTAGGGCCGTGCGTGCCCCCTGTGCTCGGTGGGAGGTGCTTGGAGGGCCCCCCTGTAATCAGGCGGGTATCTCTGGCCCCGGCCTTTCAGAGGCGTGGAGCCAGGAGATGTGGGGCTGGGCATGCCCTGCCCTAGCCCTCTTTCTTTCTGCTCTCTGCCCCAGGAGCAGCTTGAGGTAAAAAGAACTGTGGGGGAAGGCGGGAGGCTGGGGGGAAGGGGCCCCCTCCGGGCATTGGGTCGTGCCTTGCCAGCAGGGCCCGGGCCCTGCCTGGGCAGCCCTAGCACTGGGAAGCCCTTTTGTTAACTTGAGCTGGGCCACCGCCCCAGAAGCCCGGAAGCAGGACTGGGGCCTCTGCGGTTTTGCCTGCCTCCAGGCTGCTGGGCATCATGGCGGTGAGAAAGGTGGGTCTGAGGTGGCTGACCTGGGGCTGTTTGAGGGTAAGGGGGGGGAAGGCCGGCTGGGGACCGGGGAACGCGGTGGGGACCTCCCTCCGGGGGCTGGCGTCCCTTCCTCCTCCGGGCGGGGGAGCTGGTGTTTTATTGCGCCCTCCTCCCTTGGCAGCAGCTCCTCGAGAAGAAAGACAAGGCGGGCGGCGTGGAGCTGTGAGGCGAACGAGAGGAGGAGCAGGAAAGAGAAGGGCGCTCTGGGCAAAGGGACTTCCCTGTTACTGGGACTGTGGTCACACAAGAGCATTGCACGCACCTTTGGGGTGCCCTGGCTTGCTTTGCGCTGGGCGACCTCCCTGTAAGCAGGGCTCGGTCTTTGGCCTTTTGCCATGTTACCCCATGGTTTGGCTGCCCAGAGAGAGTGGCAACCCTGTAAGCAGGGTGAGAGCCACCGTCTCCACACCCGAGGGGGAGAAATGGAGCTCTCTGGACCCCGAGCCCCCCCTGTAAGCAGGGCAGGGTCGTTTCCCCTTGGCCCCGCGTGCTTGCGGCCTGCGGGGCGCCTGGCCAGCGTGACCCCCTGTACTCAGGGCGTGTCACGGCATTTGCCCCTTGGCCCCCCATGATGAAGCCCCTTGGCGTGTTGAGGCCCCTGTGGTCTCCACGCAGCCCGGGGGTCAGGTCTGGGGCTCTCCTCTCCTGCTCGGCGGTAGGGATGTCTCCCCCAGACATTGGCTGCGCAGCGCTCGCTCTCTCTCCTGGAAAGTTCTGTATCTCCCTGTCTGAGTCTGTGCCTGTGTCTGTTGTCTGTGTCCATGTGAGTGAGTGAATGAGCTAGTTTAGGCTCCTGTTAAAGTTGCTGCAGCGTACTTAGCTTCAACTTCCCAGGAGGGAAGGGCGGGCTCTGTGCAGCAACAGGGGGGGTCCCCTCTGAGCCCGCGAGCGGAGGGAAG